AATAATGAGGAATCCAAGTGACACACATTTATGGCTGGGAGTGCCATCAGATCCCTTGACCTAATTGAGCATGCCTACACACCTTAGAGTGTTTTGCATAACCAACTTAGACAGCAGGAACATTTCCAACCAGATTGATTGACATATTTTATTTCTAACTTAAGCTTAATCATGACCAAGAATGATTCGTTTATACCTTTCAAACTTTAGGAACTGACACAGGAGACAACCAAGCTGCAGACTCCAGCGTAAGCAATCATGTAAAGGAAAAAAATATATAGTAATATAGTTTATTAGCCTACTTAGCTGCTGAGGTTGATGTAATAAAATGGATTAATTAGATGGTAGGAGAGCTTGTTTATTTTATAAAATACGTGTCAAACTAGATTTTTTCAGGAAGGGTTTTGTCCTAAATCGCCCCACCACTAAACATTTCTCTGAGAAGGTACCATAAGGTGCAGTTTGATTTTTATTATTTTTTTTTCTATATAAACTAGCTGGATGAGAGCTCATCTCCCAGCAATAACCAAATTGACTCTCAAACCCAGAGACTTCTCAGCTTTTAAGGCATGAACTACCTTCAAATAAATATCAGTGGTTTCCACGCACCGTGCCTTAAACAGGAACAAAGCCTAATAGAATAGACTGTAATAAAAGCGCTATTTCCAGCACGCGTGTATGCGGCTGCTCTACGCTGAAAATGTCCTTTAGCACTTTTTAACCATATTCTCTAGTGTGTCAGCAAAGAGACTCCATCAGAGTATTTAACATCGCTGGGAGCAAAGGAATAAAGTGGAGTCACTGTTGATTATTACTCATTAGCCACAAGGACATCCACTTAACATGTGAATAAATGAATGACACCATGTCCTAATGGAAATGGCCTCAGTGTACCTTTAAGCAAAATGTTGTTTAATATCTTCCATTTGCTGAATAGTAAAGAGGCCTGTTGGACATGCATAGTTAGCAAGCAGCCATTGTTGCTTTGTTCCAATTTCAGCATTTAATAAAAAAAGATGTTGTCTTGACTGCAGCAAAACCGGACCTCAAAACCCCGGGTGGCAGCGCAATCTCCTCCTCACTCTGCAAATTCAGAATGTCGCTGGCGTCCGAAAGGGTTAATACCCATAAAGCAAATGAAGCCTTAGAAGGTACGTGTTCTTCATTATTCCGCTCTACATTCGAACATATAAAACAAAGAACATCTGATATCTTTATTGGTTTTCTTAGATAAAATGCAAGCAAGCTATAAGCCTTAATTTTCTTATTACCATTTGTTAACAAGGAAGATAACACTCTCAAAAGTACTTGATTAGGACTCCCTTTGATTTGTATCTTGTTATGATTTCCAGGGCATATATTTTTGTATTATTACTTTAGTAACACTGATCGTTCTGATCAAAGTGATAAAAAGAGGTATTTTAAAAGTGGAAATATTAACCATACAGGTAAACCGCGTAATCTGAACGGCATCTCGAACGCTGCCGTGCTGAAGCATGCTTTGGGAAACAAATCCCAGCTGAGATACACCTTCCCAGCTGGAAAGCCGGCGTAGGCAGGGCTGGAGCGGCCCTTCTGCCCTCAAACCCGCGCAGCAGCAACTTACATCGTTCACAACTTTTTCCTTTTATTTTCTTTTACAACATAGCTACTGAGAACAGCTGCAGGTGTAGTATTAAAGATATTTGCCATATTGCGTATCTAAATCCTCATGATTGGAATCCATACTAGAATACATCTGTTCTCATGGGGACAAACCAGCTTTACCTATCTAAGGAATGGGGGGGGGGGGGGGGGGGAAGTATTTTAATGCATGGCCCGATGCCTAGTTGTGAAAACTGTGCTGGATCTTTTCCTTACTCTTGCAATTTTGCCTGCGTAACAGTTAGCTGTGCTGGAGGCGGCTCACTGGTGTTTCTCAGCTCACAGGGCTTTTCTCCTGTCTCGTCCCCGGGCTGTGATGGGCACTTTGGCGGCGGTGAATGGGAAGCCTGACACGGCC